ATATTGCAGATACTGAGAGTGATCCAAATTACCATATTTATCATGTAATAATATCCCTCCGATCACTTGGAGAATAAATGTTAGGGATATGAAAACAACATTTTCCTCGATAGTCAATTGGAATTCGGACTCCAACCACGTTATCATTACCCGATAACCCTTGATGACGTCAGATGATGGCCATTTTCCTAAATTTGGTAGACTAACTTCTCGGGGTCGTAAATGTTTTGCCTCAACATGGAGGCTTTATGATCCATCCACAGGAACATCGAGTTGGTAAGCGACATATTCTAAAGTAATCGTCCATTCACCACTCGAGAAATGGAACATGTACGTCTCGGGCCTCCAACGTTCGATCAAATCCTCAATCAACGCCGGGTATAGCTTGAAGCCACATAAAAATATGGCTGGAAATAGATCGGATTGATGCAGATATGTCATCATCCATTGATGTGACTCTTTGGTTGTCATCCCCCGCTTACGAATATTCCATTAACCGTCTGGTCAGCGTTAGATCGACGAAACATGGGCGTTATCCAGGCGCAATATATATTCTCGGGTTGCCATTTTTCGCTATTTTCAAAGACCATATGCTTTTTTTTCTGTAATTTTTTCAGATTCAGGATTTGATGAATAACCAAAACCCTAAACCCCTATTTATAGCCTTACATACAACGACTATAAACAATTAATTTTTTCAAATTTATGGTCGAACTCATCACCTCGAGTTGACAAGTTCCAAGTGGCCGTGTTTAACAGTTACCCCGTCTGCCCATTGACCAATTGCTAGAAAACATATAGTATTTTTGAATTTAAAGCAACTCGTCACCTTGACGTGACGAGTTTCACCTAATTTTTTAAATATATATATATATATTTTAATGGACTCATCATCTCGGCATGACAAGTCATTTTTATTACAATAAAATAATGACCCACATGAGGCCCATTTAAAAATAATATCTGATGAGGTGATGAGTTCCGAGTGCACTGTAGAAATTGTCGTATTCTTCAAAATAAAGTCTTGGTAGGCCGAATACCTTAAATAGTTGATCCTCTTGGGGTATTGAGCCAAAAAAACCCAACAAAAAGAGACTGCAAAACCATAGGCATATTTATGTATAATTGGCCAGTACAATTTATGGTTTTTATTTAGCACAATAGGATAAGTAGAAGTTTATTTTGGGATCTACGACATTTTTTATAGTGACACGGAACTCGTTATCTCGAGATGACGAGTTCTAATAAAAAATATTTTTATTCAAACTTTTTGCCTCAATGTGATAAATTTTAATAAAAATTATATTTTATTGGAATTCGTTACCTTGAGATGACGAGTTTGAATGAAAATATTTTTTTATTAAAACTCATAACATCAAGATGACGAGTTCTATAAACACTGTAAAAAATATCGTCGACCTCAAAATAAACTTCTACTTATCCTATTTTCCCAAGTAATTTACCCATTTACCTTATTGAGAAAAAAAAAACTAGAAACATCAATAGCTATGTCAAATCCCATGGATATTTTTTTCTTTTTCATATAAATATAATATTGATTTTATTTAATTAAAATATACATTGAACATAAACAATGAAAATGAAAGTTGAAATCCCTGGTTGCATGGAAGCACCAGGTTTAAGAGCATCCTGAGAGAAGAAAGCAGTGAGCTAGGGATGGATCGAGGGTCAGGTGGAGTCAGTCGTCCCCTGAAAATTTAAATTTATTATATATCTTAAAATTTTTTATGTATTTTTTATTGAAAATTTATTTTCGTCTCTTAAAATTTTATAAATTTAAGTTTAATCCTTTAACTTTAAATCTTGTATCTGTAACTGTATGTAATCCGTGTGTAGGCAAAACTATAGGGATGAATCTAGACGGGGCAAATGAGACAATTGTCTCCTAAAAATTTAAATGATCATATATTTTAAAATTTTCTATGTATTTTTTATTAAAAAATTATTTTCGTCTCTCTTATAATTTTATAACTTTAAGTTCGGACATCAAAATTTTTAAGTTAAGCTGGTATCCTTTACCATAAAATGATGCGTCGATCCCGCGAAGGACAATTTGTAGTTATGTCAGCTATTTTCAGAGAATTGAAGAAACTTTTACAAAGATTAATGATTCAGGTTTTTGGGATCTAAATAAAGTGTTCATGGGATTTTACGCATGATTGGAACACCTCAACACCATGAAGAGTTCATCATACGTAAATTCTTTATTTTTTTTAATGGTTTCATCTCAATGGAAATGGAAAATTTGATCTTAGAAACTAATCCATCAGAAAATAGTTTGTGCCAATCAAATGAAGACAGTAAACCCAGAAAAAAAAAAATCATATCTATCACCCAATGCTGTATTTTCAATTTCATTTCAACCCCAGAACTCGTAATACTATAACATCTTATGAACAACTAAAATCTAATAGTATTAGCACCAAAGCAACTCAACTCCATAACTTTCTTCATATTAACTTCAGATTTATTCATCAACGTACACGCAGCAGCAGCTGAAGAAGAAGAAGAAGAGGAGGAAAGGATCATGGCCTGAGAATAAGCGGCGACATTGTTCTTCGCATGTTGATAAAGTGACCTAATCGAGTAATTCCACCTGCAAATTCCTTGGTCCTTAAGGGCCTCCACCGCTCCTATTGTTGCCGCCACGATCCAGGCTTTCCTTGCTGCTCCACCGCTCATTTTTCAATTCTTCTTTTCTGGGTATTGGATTCTTTGATTTTGAGTCGAGAGGAGAATCGGGTTAGGGTTTGCTTTTATAGGGGGAGAATTTGAGTGGAAAAATCCCAAAATCAGTAGGCGGTTTAAGCCAGATACGTGGAAAGTGAAAAACCAAGGACAAGCAATTGCTTACCTTTCACTGTTTTCGGTTTTCTGGCGACGAAAACAAAGAATCCGACTGCTGTTTTCTGTTTTGGCAAAAAAATAAAATAAAATAAAAAATTAGGTGATATTTTCTTTTTAACCCCTCTATTTTACAAAAATATAAAAGTTAGATCATCCATTTTAATTAATTCAAATGTATTCTTATAATTTATAAAAGTTGACAAGCTAGTCCAATTGTGGCCATTATTCTAATATTATTAAATCACCGATCCAAAATTCAATGGTTTAGCCTTTTATATATACACGAAGAATTAATAAATATCAATAGTATAATACTTTATATCCCATAAATTGGAAAACAAATGAGTAGTTCAAGTTTCCGTTTTTATTAAACATCGATTAGTTTCTTAATTTTTATAAGATACGATGATAAATTCTTTGGGAAATTAAAAGTAAAGAGACTAATTTTAATTTTTGTAAAGTAAAAGGATGGCATTATAAAAATATAAAAGGATGGGATACTTGAGGGATGATTAATATCATCACAACACTTGTTAATAAATACAATATTATTTAGTTACGTGTTGTTCTTAATTTGATTTAATAAAAATAAAATTGATATTTAAAATAAATTCCTAATAATCTTTTATTTTGAGAAAGAAGTGAATCTATTTTCAAGAGTAAAAATTATGATAAAATTGTTTACATTTTAATTTTTTCGAGAATGATGAAACAAACATGTGAGTTTCATATAAGAGTAAAAAGAAAAAAAAATAAATTAAAAATTTTAGAGTCTAATAATAATCAATGGTGATGAACAGTCGCGACCAATGACGATGGTGATGGATAATAGACGATGATAAATGATTTTCATCGAATTTAGATATTGAATTGAATTTTTAAATAAATTCAAACGTGTTTATAATATTATATAGAATAGAGTAGAAATTAGGATAAATTCTGCGTTTAATACTTAAACTATCAGTTTTGGTCCGTTTTAGTACATAAACTTTAATTTTTCAAAATTTTACTTAACTTTTAGTTTTTGTTTCGTTTTAATGTCTCACCATTAAAAGTTTAACGGTTGATTTGCACATGACACCTTTTTGTAGGTAAAATATATAATTCATTACTCAACTATCTTCTCATTCATATTTTGGTCACTAAAGTTTATTTTTTTCAATTTAATTATTAAACTTTCAAATTACTCCTAATTTAATCACTCTAACTTTTAAATTTAATTTTTTATTTTTAATTATATATTAATAAAATAATAAAAGTATCATGTCACAAAAATTATTAATAAAATAAATTAGAATGATTAAAATAGGAGTAATTTGAAAGTTAAATGATTAAATTGAAAATATTTAAACATTATTACTAAAATAGAACGAGAAGATAGTTGAGTAGTGAATAATATAATTTACTCACAAAATAGAAGTTTCTACTAAAATCAAATAAAAATTAGACGTTAAGTATGATTTTAAAAAATTAAAAATTTAACTACTAAAATGGATCAAAACTGATAATTTAAATATTAAACTCATAATTTACCCTATAAATTAAAACAAAAGAGAATGCCCAAAATTAGATTGAATTTCATATGATAACCCCAATCAAATGAGCAAAATGTTATGAAATGGAAAGACTGAATACAGCAATCCAGCTTCTAAAATCTAACAATATTAGGACCCCAAGAGCTCAAATCCAAGACTTTCTTCGTACTCCTCTGGGCTTTCCTCCTCATTTCCTCTCTCAGCTCATTCGAAACAGCACCGGCAACAGCCTTAGAAGAAGAAGAAGAAATCAAAGAAGATCTGAGAATGTTTTTGGCATGTTGATGAAGAGGCCTAATGGTGTAGTTTCACCTGCAAATACCTTGGTCTTTCAATGCCTCCATCGCCCCTATTGTAGCTGCCCCTACCTCCCTTTCCTTCCTCCACAAAATTTTGAATTTAGCCTTTATTAAAGAAACAATGAAGATGAACCCTTCACGTCCTTTTTATGATAGTGCGAAGTACTTCGATGAACCCTTCACAATGGATTTACAGATTACAATTACTTCACAATTAACAATTTGCTCCACCCTTTCTTTTTTTTTTGGGGGTGGGTGGGTGGGTTGAATTTGTTAATTTTTTTCTCCACTATTAACAAAAATCTATCAAGTTTGTGGTACTCGGGATCAAACGAAGTCCATACATTTTCTATGGTCGATTAGCCTATGAGAACATCAATCTCTTAGTTGATCTCATAAAACAGTCTATTCTGAAGGGAGAGAGGTGTACAATTGCATCATTGAGATGCAAGTAATAGAACAGGAATGGCTAATATCAAACTTAAAAGAGCAGGGCGAGATCAGATATAGGAAGGAGCTTAACTGAGGCGAGCTATATCAATTTCATCTGGTAATTTGAAACTGTCAGCTGCGCCGAACTTTCGTTTCGCTTCGTAATCATCGGCAGTTTCTCCTTTGTCGGTACTACTCTTATCCTCGTCGTAGCAAGCGGTCGGTGAAGAGGGATCGGCCACGCTCCGGGAGCGGCACGATGGGGTAGCAAGCATGCTTACTTGACCAAAGTGTGATATTTCCACAACAACTGTGTCATCATCTGCTGGGAGAGGTTGTTTCCATGGTTCTCCATCTATCCTCATAAATGTGTGATTGGCCGCATCCTTTTTAAACTCGAAGCGGACGGCTTTTGCCTGAAATCGCAGGCAGATACATCCGGATCGAATGTAGAATATGAGAAGTAGCAGTTAAAATGGTTTAATAGTTCTTTTCTCATAATGTTGTGAAGAAGCCTCTACCTGTGCTAAACGATACCCATGCCCATTTGGAGCAAGCAAAACTAGCCCGTGCAGAACATTTCTAAATCCGACTATCTCAATTAGGCCATCATCTACAAAAGGAGGAGTCAATCCTCTCTGCAAAACCAAAATTCGCAATCGAAAAGTTTTCGTTAGAAATCAGTTTGTTATGTGTAGGTGAAAAATGAAGTGAGAAATCGAACGAACATCGAGAAATTTCTTCCTAAATGGTGTTCCCCAAGGATTGAATCCACCAGAGAAGCTAGGCAAGTTGAGGCAGACAATAGATCCGATGCTGCATTCGAAAGGAAGTGAAATTACGATGAGAAATCAAAGTATTGTTTATATAATACTTAAAGATGTAATGAGGAAGATGATTTAAACCATCGAGGTATTTTGAGGTCTTCCCATTGGCCTTGTTTCTTCATAACCTTAACCTTTGTTATTTGAGCTATGCTCCTGTATTGAGGTCGAGACATAGCTCAGGAACATAGACATCGAAGTTAAATGCTCAATAACCAGACAATGAACGCACTAAAACAAAGCAATGCATGATGTCATTCAGAAGAAAGACGTTGTAGACATGACAGGAATTTATATTACCAAACATCTACAAGAAGACTCACATTGGAGAAGGACGAAAAAGAGATCCGAAAAGCCATCCTTGAGTACATCCAAGCTTTACATAAGTACCCTGCTTCACCATAAAGAAAGACTTGTAAATTGCAGAAACAATAATGCGTAAAAGGAACTGTACTTGTATAAACTTAACAAAAGATCCTGTAATATAGTATATTGTTAGAAGGCAAGTGCATTTTCAGCAGTAATGCATTAAAGGTCTTGTACTGATATAAACAACCTACGTAAAGCTATATCGGATTATTTCAGATTTAAACAACCTTTAACACAGCCGGACAGATAAATTTACCTGATTAATTAACTGATTTCTGAATTTTTCTGGATGCAGCTTCCTCTCAGAGTGAAATGCATATGAAATTTGAGCATCCAATCCTGACCAGAAAAAATCTTATTGGTGAATCGAAAAGTTACCGCTCCATGATCTCATTATTGCATTCAGAATAAAAGTTACTTTGCCATTTGAGATAATAAACTACTAACAAATCATATGTAAAAGCAAAAGATCTATTAGGCTTAGTTCCACTTCCATGGAAAAATCAGCATTAAGAATCTAAATAAGAAGACAGAGAAACTATAGTTGGTTCAGTTAGGAGCATAACACTCTCTCCCATTAGCACCTTAACTGTAAAAACTGCTTCAAATGATCAATTGCACCGTATATATGGTGTAGAAACCATTACAATATAATTTGACAGTCCAGGCATCCTGTGCTCAATCATGTCAGGGACAAAATTACATGTGGTGGATTATATCAGGTTAACTTGGAAAACTGCAGTGTTTAGACTCATAAGAGCTATGTTGATTCTTGAAGGCACTAACAGATAGGTAATAACAGACTATTCCTATCACCAAGCCTAATCCAAAGAACTATGGTCTCCACTCGTGAGATGCTTGAATGAGTAATACAGAGGTATTTATCTTTGTATTTACACGCCTTAAACAAATAAGAAAATCGTTTTGTTTTAAAAAAAAAGTTGCAAATTGTGAAATTCTTGCACGGATTTATATTTCTTACCCATGCTGAAATAGTTCCAAAATCCTCCACGAAATGTGTGATAACCATCCTGAGAAGAGAGAGCATCCGATTTTTTTCCAGTAAGCATAGAAAGCAATTCTAATTCATATGAAGCAACATAAAAGTGGAACCTAAATGTGTAAATGATTGTTTGAACTCCACATATTAGCAGCTTCTTGCACCTTTGACTTCTAATATAACTATTAGAAGAAGATAACATTTGATTCATCTTGTTCACCTTTCATAATGTCTAGAGAAGTAGGAAGTATATTAGAAGTTATTACTCTACTATTAGCTGTTGTTAAGAATCTGTTACGTTAGACGAAGATTTGCTGAGAATTGATTAGTTTATTATAAACTCGTGTACATAAAGAAATAATAAAAATGTAAAGAGAATAAGCTTCATTCTATTAATCTCAATTTAATATTATGTTTTCTTTATATATGTTGGTCTTATATTCTTACAATTACCAGTTTCATAGATCTCACTTTAAATTCTATGTATAATGATTTTCATGATGGCTTATACATTAGCTTATTTATATCCAGTAAATTGACAACTGAAGGTTAATATTGCTCCGATTGTTTCGTATAAACTGACAACTAGAGCATCGGGGCACATGATGAGATATAAACCTCATTTCAAGCGGCAATTAAGCAAGAAAAAGATGCGTTTGAGGATTGCTTGTTTTAGAATTTCATCATCCACTAAATATCAAAGAAATCGGGGATAGTTCGAAGAAAAAGGAAAACCAACAGATACAGAAGCAGTATCTACAACTGACCCTAAGAAAAACTTCACACCAATTATACTGCAGTCAAAAACACATAAAAAGGGGGAAGAAAAAGGAGTTCCAATAGGATCACAAGAACAGCAAAAAGAACAGAAAAGTGAAACATACCGTATCCAATTTGTCCGTTTGAGAGATGCGATGAAATGCATGCAAAGAATGGGGGAGTTCAAGAGGTCCAATAGGATCACAAGAACCTTCCTTAGGGGACCTCATTCGCATGATAATATGCCAGCTGAAATTTCATCGAATGGATTGTGGCATAAGAATCTAAAGTAAAATTAAAGTTTTCAACACATAAGCAACTGAATTTCTTTTCCATTCTGACATGATAAAACTTAACCAAAGAAAAGGCAAGGAAAAGAAGAAATGCTAGTGAAAATATGACATCATCATTTGAACTCGGTTCAAAAAGAAATAAATCATTTCTTCATCTAAAATAGCGAAAAGTTCTGGCAGACACTAACTTTCTTCATGTTAGGCACACCACATCATATAGTATTTAAGGCTAAAGAGGACAACGAGAGTAGTCTAAAAAAACGGAAAGACTATAAGAGATTAGGGTGTGATCAAAATCATCAGGAAGATGGTTTGGTGGAAAATTTTGATTGGTCAACTACATAGTTTAGGGAGATTGCACAAAACCAAGAATAAAGCTCATAACTAACTGTAGCAGTAATCAAGTTCTGTGAACTACTGCATACCATTGTCAGCAAAAACTATCTCATGCATGTAATAGGAGGTTCAGAGTTTCAGACCTTCCTGAAGCTCAAGAAAAAAAAAAACTACGATTTGCTATCAGGAAGTAAAAGATGTGTAAATAGAAGGCGTGCCCATGTCTATTGTTAGCTATAAAAACAAAGAGACAGCTATTGAATAGTTTATTACCTATCGATTTTCATTTCATTTGCATTCCTTACTTGTTCCAAGAATGAGAACACGGATTGTCTGTCTGTACCCGGATTTTTCCTTCCCTGCAAATTAACCGAACATAAGGTATGAAAATCTAACTCAATTGAACCAATTCTTCCAGTATTGTATGTCAATTGTGGAACAAACATTCGGGAACAATACATACTAGGAATGATCACAAAAAACTATTGCAATCACTTAATATCGTCCATTCTTTTATGATTATTGAAAGACATCTTGGCATCACGGACAACAATTAAGTGAACAAAATTAGCAGCATGAGCGTAACATTTTCAGCTTGAAAAGATTATGCACCGTAAAATTTGTTGGTTTTTATGCCAAAACGGCAACACCGATGGATGAGATGTTGACAAGAACACAGGGACAAAGGCAGAAAAGAAAACCATCATTCTTGTCCATAGAGGAGAGATTCGAACAAGTAGAAACAGTTCGTGATTTACATGTCAAACGGCACCATTAGAATTAAAGGCAACAACACAGAATAAAAAAACGATGTGAACTTCTCATTAATAAAATAAACTAGGTGAGTCAAGTAAGCATCATCCTACCCATCCAAAAGAAAAAGGCAGGTTGTTTCCGGTTCCTAGAGGCACTGTAGCCACTGGAGGTGGATGAGGCAGTTTAAGATCAGATATTACACCTAGAAGCCAACCAGATGTGCCATCGCCACCTGCAACCTAGCAAACAGATTAAGCAATTCAGATGTCAACTGCGTCAGGTACAAAATAGACACGTGCTTATACACATGCATGTATTTATGTATGAATATGTTGTCCATGTAAATTAGTACAGACAGACAAACCTTACAATAAGCATAAATATTTACTTAAAATATAAACTCACAATTATTCTCAAGCTATTCTCTATAGCTGAAGCCAAAACATCCCCCCTTTGCTTAAGTGATCCCAAAGAGGCATAAATTTGGCGTAGCACCTTATCAGGTTTCGTCTCTCCCAAATCAAAAACCTGATTTGCGTTAAGAACAGATCTATATGTAGAAAGAAGATTTCCTCCAAGCTGGCCACCACTTTTGGAGTTGATAAACACTAAGACTGGACAAGAAGGTACCCACGGTGGTCTTTTTATTTTTGACCCGGGAACAAGTATATAATTTGGGATGTAGTATTCACACAAAATATGGTCCAACTTACTATCTCCCCAACATGGCCTCCCAACTGCATGTTATATATGTAAGGAAAGATCGAAATATTCAGATTTCAGAATGCTACTACAAGTAGAGAAATCACTTGCTGAAAATAAATATATATAGATAGCTCAGAAAGATAAACGAATAAAATTAGAAAACAAAGGTACCTAAGCATGTAATTCTTATTGCATTGCACAAAAGATAAATGTCATATCAACTAATTTTGGGAATTTAATCAAACAGGGAGATGCTTCCAGTATGCCCTAATCTAAATAATGGAATGAACACAATCTAAAACCATCCGTCACTCTAACTTAATTGAATTAAATTAAATGGATAATAATTAGGAACAAACAACAGTTAAACCTTGTAGAAAGAAAACTACGAGTATCACTTGCAACGAGTTGTGATCCCAAGGACAATTCAACCAAGCCTTTTACCGGGAAACATGAAATGTTGTTAGTCAATGCCATTCTTCTCAATCATAAAATAGATCTTAAAAGGAAAACTAAAATATGCAACACAAGATAAGTATAAATCACAAAATTAATGCTTAGTTTCTCTTCTTTAATCCTCAGTTTTCTCTCTATCAAACACACTGAATCAGCTGATATAAGTTAAAAAAGAACACATAAATGAGCTGAAAATCTTCAAATTGCACTTGTTTTCTTCATTTTCAGCCAGTTTTCTCCTTTTTTTTCTCATGAGAAAACAATTCAAAGAAATGAAAGAAGAAGAAGGCTCAAAAACGCATTTCTCTTCAGTTTTCGCATGCTTTTCCTCTCCTCTTTCGGAAAACAATTTAAAGACAAAAAAAGGATCAAATATCTTAAAATTCAAAATGCTCTTTTTCTCTTCGATTTTCTCTATCTTATAATGAAACAGACAAGATAACCAGCTCAAAATTCTCAAATGCGCGCTTCCTCTGTTTTTCCCTCACTTGTTTCTCTCTTCAACGACAACTATAAAAACGCAGGAAAAAAACACAACAAAAAAGAAGGAAATATTCCAATCCACGTCTTCTTTGGCCTCTAACTTTTCGTTTTAAATAAATCAAACAGAATCATATAATCAAAGGCAAAGCAAGAAACATCTACGTTCTTTTTACAAATAAATGTAAAGAAAATTAAGAAAAGAGCAGCGATGCTTTACTTGATGAAGCAAAGAAACAGTTGCGTACTGCAGAGGAAGATCAACCGTAGGAAGTAATCAAAACTCCAAAAAGCTTCAGAAGCTAATCAACTACTCCTCATCGTCTTTGCATAATTTTTTAATCGCAAATATCCAAAAGCGGATCGGTTGGGAAATGTGAATCAGAAGACCAATAAAGAAATAAGATTTGGATTACAATGAAAGGTGATGAAGCTTCGGTTTTCACTTTCGTTTCCAATGGATGCCGTCGTCGTCTTTTTGTTTTGAACTTTCGTCGTTTTTAGACGTTTTACCATTTCAAATGTGTTCGGTCACTTGACAAAGTGGAAAAGCGGGGATGGGGGTGGCCATATGGAACTAAGTCACTAACTGCTATTTGATCGCGTGCGGCCGGGTTTAGTTTTGCTGAAAGAAAGAGAGAATGAGAGAGTGACACGTAAACTGATTGGTGGGAAATGGGGAAGGTGATTCGTTGTTTTGTTTTGGAGAGTACTGAGTAGTCGTAGTGAATTTTAAGTTGACTTTAAATAAAATATTAAAAAATGACTTGGCGCGTTCGTTCGTGTTGTTTTCACTATCAATGTAAATTGTAGGCTTAATGCGCTATTTGCCACCAACATTTGCATATATTTCTAGTTTGATACCTAACATTTTTCTGTCGATAGTTTAGCTTTTTTTGGTCGATCAAAAAGTGTCACATGACACTTTTGACAAAAAAAAAAATATTAGATACCAAATATATTCATGTATTTCCAATTTGGTACCTAGAAATTTTTATTGATAGTTCAGATTTTTATGGTCGACCAAAACGTGTAACATGACTCTTTTGACTAAAAGAAATATTAGATACCAAATTATAAAAATATGCAAAAATTTGAGGGCAATTGGTATATTAAGTCTAATTTTTTTTAAACAAGCCCTTTTCTTTTCTTTACCTAGAACATGGTTCAATTAAGTCCACTCGATCAAATTTAGCTACTTTGATCAAATAACTCATTTAAGCCGGGACGGACGTAAGATTTTATATTACGAAGATGTATTTTTAAAATTTTAAGAAGAGACAAACTCATAAAATTTCAAGAGTCAAAAATAGATTTTCAATAAAAATATATAAAAAGATCTAAAATATATAGTTTAAATTTTCAGGAGACAACTGATTTTCTCCCCTCTTCTCGGTCCACCCCTGGAAGTAGAAACTAGAATTATTATATTATATATTTTCATATATATAATCTTACATTTCGTACGCTTTAAGGATTATTATTTTTATCAAGTAGAAAATGAACTTATTTTCACAAGCAAGATCAAAATGGTGATAAGTGTTTAGTTATTTTGTTTTCTAGTTCTTAAATTTACTAAAAACAGGTATTACTATTCTACTAGAAAATATCTTTCATTGATAATGAACTGAATAATTATTTTAATATTAAAAGAATAATTAATTGATGCATTAATGATAAAACTATGTTTTACTTTACAATTAAATTAATTCTTATATTTATTTTTAATTCATAAATTTAAAATGCTTATCAAAGACTACATACAGAGAGAAATAAACAGTTGTTTTTTTAGCCAATGTGCGTCAGCAAGTATTTGTTTACAAATGGGAATGATAAGCAAGCAAGGTCCAAGCATTGGGTAATTCTTTACCTAATGAATATAATAATACGAATAATTAATAGGACAAAATTCCTTTTACCTACCAAAGTATTAATGTTTACGAGCCGAAAATAGCTTGGTTTAACAGTTTGGACGTTTACATTACTGTTAAAGAAAAATTAAATTTAGTAATTGTAGACCCCAAATTTTTGTCCTCATCCCACTGACCCAGCTCATTTAAACTTAAACAATTTGCATTTAAAGTGTCGTTGCCCCGATAGCATTAATGTTTGTTTTCTACCAATGCCTACGTATGCATGTGAAATATAATTCAAAGTATGTTCACATTACAAATTGCTATTTTTTTTATGTAAAAGCTATGTAAGAAAATTACTATAAAAAGTCGAATAAAAATGTAAGAAAAGGGGGTCGGATTCTTCTCGTTTTTCAGAAGAAAAAAGAGAAATAAAATACAAAATTTTTCGTCAATCAAAACAGAATCAAATTCTAAGATATTCTAGTTTGTATTTTAATTTCTTTAGTTTATTTATTCAATTCGAATGCAACTAATAATAAGAATTTTAGTTTATAATTTTATTAGTTGTTAAAGTAAATTCCATGAGTTCTAAAGAAAAATTAATTAAAATTGAGATAAGAATTTAGGTTATCATGTTTTGGTGTTCGTTGGAGTGGGGTGTCGCCGTTGTCGAGTCTAGAGTCGAATGATCAGATTCACCAAAGATCCAAACGCCATAGATGCTCTGTGTATGGCGTGAAAGAAAAAGAATGAAGATGGGGTTCTGGAGAGCCACGGGCAAAAGAGAAAAAGGGCAAGGGAATTGCTTTTTATTTTAAATTTGGGAAACCCACAAGTTAGCTCCTCCTTATTTCATAACTTTTTGCGTTTTAGTCACTGATTTTATTTTAATCCTATTTAGATCCATTTCTTTCCCATGTGTTACATTTAAGTCATTAGATTTAGGATCAAATCACCCCTAAGTCCCCTAGTCTAACCATATTTTAATATTATGGTCATTATGTGTACCTGTTTTTATTTTGAACTCTATATTTTACTTATTTTTAATTTAGTCATTAAACTACTATGTTTTTATTTGAATTTAGTTATTGTTTTTCTAGTTGATGTTAATACTATTTTAATCCTTTAAATTTCTGTTTGTATTATTTTGGTACTTTAAATTTATGTTTTTTGTTATTTAATCCCTTAAATTTTTGTTTTTCTCTTGCAGCTCATTTCTAGAATTAATTTGATCTATGAATTTTAATTATTTCCAAGATAAATTTTTTATTTTAATTTTCTTTCATTCCTTTTATTTATTTATTTACTTTTTTATTTCGATATTAATACTAACTCTTTATTTTTTTTGTAAACTTTATTTATGATTTTTTAGGATATTTTTAATCAATCAAAGGTAAGTAATTTGAATCAAATCTCTAAATTTTAATTTTCGTAATTAAGACAACCGACAAATTAAATGGTACCGAAAGGGTAGCTTAAGGGTGCTAATCCTTCCTTGACTGTAACCGACTCCCGAATCCGACATATTTATGGTAAAACGCATATCAGGTAAGATGGTATCCGATCAACCAAATTTTTTTTACGTAAAATAAATGATCGGTGGCGACTCTAATATTTTATTTCAAGTCGAAGCCAAATTCTGGGCCCACCCGAAAGGAGGTTGCGAAAGCTTGGCGACTCTGTTGGGGACAGGTAAGTGAGTCAGGCCAAAATTAATTTTCGGTTGTCTTTTTATGCGAAAATAGTAAATTTTAATTTTAATTTATTTATTCGATTCCAATTATTTACCTTTGATTATTTTTCAAATAAATAGTTATACTGACTTTTCAATGATTTCAGATTTTCAAAATATTCATCTCATGCTCTATACCCGAGCTCCAAACCCTATTTAAGTGGAGGGTAAAAGCGACGCCTTCGTGAGAATTTATTCTCCGTGCGGGCCTAGCAAGTAACCTTCGGGATTCATATACCTTATGTCTTCGTGTGAATTTATTCACCGTGCATGCATAAGGGAATGTGTCCTCTCGAGTTTAACTTAGTCCACACAAGCTTGTAATGGGCTTATGACTAAAGGTCTGGCAAGCCCAAGGGGCACCGGCAAGGAGAACTCGAGTATCGTTTTTTAGAACCTAAATTGGGAGACTATGGAGAATTAGAGCCTACCCCAAAACCTCATTCCAAATCCTAGGCTACTTTCTTTCCTGTTTTACTTTCTGTTTAAAGCATGCGAACTAGACAAACATGAGGTTAGGATTTGTTTGAAATTAGCACGCGGAATAGAGATCATGTCCGGGTAGGAATAATAAGCATGTGGGGTAGATATCATATGAGGTAGGACTTTTATTTTCATAATTGTTTTGATTATTATCTTTACCTCACTAACTCTTTTTATTTTTGTTCTCTTTTATTTTATTTTCATCATTTGCATCATTTAAAAGAGGTGTTGATCCAAAAAAATGTGTTCGTTAAATGTAAATAATTTACATTAATGGATAAAGGGGTTGTAATACAAGAGATGAAAATGCAGAGGATAACCTACAAGGCGACTATGTGCCACATTCAATCCAGAAGACGTGATGCCCACAATTGAAGAGTATATCACTCTGCTGCATTATAAAGGACTCAGAATGAAACGGGTCTACATCAAGCACAATGAAAGTCTATCTTTGAAGAACTGACTGGTAG